CTTTTAAATCAAACATCCATTATTCATGTATATTAACTGCTTTTTTTTTTTTTTTCCTGGCTGTTTTGTGTATGATTTACTCTTTTTCTTTCTCTCTTATTTTCTGTCTGTCTCCCTCAGCTGCTCCTTTTAAATCTTAGCTCATCTTTAAATTTATGGAGCCAAAACGCTTATCTCTGTGTACAAGTATCAATATGCTGACCTTGCATTTGTTAATAGTCAAATTTTTTTGTTGTTGTTGCAGTGTTATGTGCCATGTTTACAGTAGGCAATTCAGTACATTTACATGGGGAAACGTTGCCCCTGAGGCTTGTAAACTTTGAAAATACTTTTTTCCACATCTCTTTAGAAATAAAATTCAAACTTACAGCAGTGTGTGCCTTATGTTGTACTTAAATTTGATTACTTCTGCTGCAAATGCATATGAAATAACCTTACCACTTTTGTAGATACCCTTTGAATTTGAATGGTTTTGATCTGAGCAAAACCCAGATCACTTCTTTATTTCTGGTGGACTTGAAATTTCATGACCCTTTCTTTTGTTGGCAATATTAATGTGTATTTAGGCAATGTTTTTTTCTACTTGGCAGAGGGATGGGCAGAAGGAAAGGGGAAGAAACATAATCTGAAAATAAATGTAAATTCTGTTCCCAGTTTTGATGCTTGTTCCTCTGCCTCTCAGGTTTTATTATTTTGATCTTCTGTCTTTAAAATGACAGTTAGAAACCTCTATCCTAGACAGTTCTTTCTGAGAAAGTGGTTCTTTAATGTATTCTGTGTTATTCAGTAAGGAAAAGGATGTAGGTTTTGAGTGTGGTTTTACAGTATACTTTTGCTAGTATTTATAATACTCTGTTCAATACTTTATCTAAATAAGAACAGAATATACTGTATATACAGAGTGTTTCACCCAATTCTGAGAGACAGCTCAGTTTATTAGCTGTGCGATGTGGTAACTTTTGACAAGAAGCAGAAATGCTATTGCAGAGGGGAACTAGCTGTTTCACAAAGCAGTTGTCTGCTGGCTTTTGGCCAGGACAGTGGGTTGAACACCCCTGCTCTTGTTGAAAGTACCATGGGCTCTTTGATAACAAGTGCTTGGGGATTTGTTGTTTTAATGTTCCATCCAAAAAAGACATCTCCAACGACGCAGGATCCCAAAACACCTGCTGGGGTATTGGACATGCATGGAAGAGTTCCATCAACAGCATTTCCTTCAGTTCCTTGGTTTTTCTTGGAAGTATCTCAACCAGAGCACATCGACCACGCTTGACCTCACTTAGCTGCAAGATGTAACAAAGCTCACAGCTTAGCTATTCTGGCTACAGAGTTTAATTCTCTGTGAATTAATTTAGTCTTCTTTCTTGAGTTCTTGGACAACATTTAAAGAGAGTTCCTGTACCCACTGCTCTGCAGTTCCGTGAAGTACAGTAACTTTTCCTTTCTTCCTCTGCCTAGTGTCTTATGAATTTGCCAGCTTCTCAGCGCATCTATCTGAGAACAGTGACCACAGGTTGAGACTTGCCCAACTGGCACAGTAAAGAGGGAAATTAGTCTAATGCACTGTCTTAACAAAAGAGAGAGTATGAGCTTGAATAATTAATACCACTAGTCTGTGGCAATCGGATAAAATGAAGTCCCATTTGCTCAGCCTTATTAAAAGAGAGAGAGAGAGGGAGAGATGGTAAAGGTCGTTAAGGGACTTGTAACATGGAAAGAATCGCCTCTGAGATGGATAATGTGTTTTCTAATCTCTGTGGTCTTTAACTAAACATAATGGTAAAGGTACTCTGGCTATTTCTGGCTTGTTGAATTATTAAGCATTCTGGGAGATTGCTTGGCTCTTATCCAATAACTTAGACTTTTTCATTTGAACAATGTTAATAGGTAACACTTTTTATTTTGTGTGTTAGATCCTGATGCATCTGCATGGACTATTTAATGCTTTTCCTCCCTTGTGTTGCTGAAGTCCCACTGGGGGAAGGGATGCTCGTTAGTGTGTTATCCCAGGGTACTTCATTTCACACCCAAATGCTCTGGGTTCACTTACCTTCAGTTCAGTACCTATTAGGTCACGGGTCTTGGGTGTCCATTATAGGATTATAAATATCTTTAAAAGGGTAATCCCTTTGCAGTGTGCATTATAGGATTATAAACCTCCTAAAGATCTTATGCTTTATCTGCCCTTTAACATACAGGCCCTTATTTCAAGTCCCTATTGACCAGGTATTTTCATTCTTTCTCCTTGGCCTTTGTGAAGAAAATCCTTGTTGCGTTGGGATATTATGGGAGAGCTCATCACAACTGTTCTAGCAACTTCAAAATTGTCATCAGCATACTTTTAAAACCCCTGTCTTCAAGAAATTATTATTCAGACTTAAAAAAGCATTCTGAGTTTTTTTTGTTTCTTTACCTATCAGTTTGTCAGGATAAGGTTTTGAAATTTGTTTGCAAACCATAAAATTGCTCAAGACAGAATTTGAATTTAAAGATAGGTAAAAGCTGGAAACTGAAAATGACAGAGAATCTTTCTTCCAATGATAGGGCTAATTGGCTAGAAATACAGGTGCATTATAAAAATTGAAACAAAACAAACAAAAACCAGCACAACAGTCTTTAAAAGAGTGGAGACTGATGTGAGAAGAGAAGGAATTGGGGGGGGTAGGAGAAGATGAAAGACAGCTTTTCTTCCAGTTTTGTGGATCTGAACCTTTATTTTTTTTACAGAGTCTCTTTCTTAGATATAAACACTTTAAATTGGTGGCCATCTGCAAGTTATGTGAGGAGGAATAAATAATTTTTCAGCTGGTGCTGCCTACATAGGAGAATTGCCACAGCTCTGAATTTGAGACTGCAAGCAGGAGAACCTGTAATATATAGTGCTCCCATCTAAAACAGGGGAATCTTTAACTGCTATGTGGAAGCAATTTTTCATTATAGTCTTTCATGGCCATATCTGAATTTTCAAGTGTGTATCATATGTTTATGAGATAGATGGGAACAGTGGTCATTTAGATAAATTAATAGTTTATGGATGTTCACTTTAAGTATTAGCCCCAGGGGACTTTGGAGAAAGCAGCATTTGGCCCTCTCCTCTCCAGAGTTTTAACATGCAGCTGGGAAGGGCTGGTTCAGAGCCTCAGCTGGGAGCTGGAAGACGTTGTTGTTGACCCGATCATTTATTGTTCATAAGTTGAATTCAGAAGTTTATTGACTCTGTCTTTTGTTCAAAACTTTCCAAGGAGGAATTTGGTTGCCAGGCACAATATTAATTTCCTTTGCACTGAAAACTCTGCAAAGTACCTTTGCCAGAATGTCATTATCTCTGGGTTTGGTTAGTGAGCTGTTGGAAGCTGTGCTGCAAGTGAGAACAGACTGTAAATTGGTCTTTACCTTGAAGACTAACATTTTCCTGCTGTTAGTAGCAACTTTTTTGTAGGTATGGAAGTTTAATTTTTTAGCAACTTTTGTCTCCTAAGTGTTCCTGCAAGGGTAGTCTTCCTTGGTTTACAGAGCTTGGGTAAAATTGCTTTGGGTTTTTTGGGTCTTAAGGACGAAAAATTGCATGCTAAAGAGTGGTATTTGAGGCAGATAGCTTCACAAAGACAAGGTTGGGAGAGGGAACTAGTTGGGAGATTATAAATATTGAGAAAGTAAGGTATGAATATGTTGATTCTAATAGGGAGCTGATAATATGTCTGAATAAAACCATGCCTGCTTTTTAGTTGGGAGAAATAGCAGATGGAGGAAACCTGCAAATTCTCTGCCTTACTTTGCAGTATTCCTAGAGATTATTAAAGTTTGACTTTTGTTGCCTAGAGGCATCCATCACAAAATGATCCCTTCTTCCCTTAATTCCACCTTTCAGATGCTTACTAAAATTGCACAGATAGGAAGTAAAAGGCCAGGCAGCATCACTATCGCTGTTCTGGCAAATGTTGAAATAAAAGTAGTGTAATATTTATTAAGCTGCATGTGGATATAATCAGAAAAGTAGAAGTTAAGTATATTGATGTGATACTGACGTAGCCAGGCTGATGTTGCCATGGAAGCTGTAAGTTTTTTCTGATGTTTTAACCACGGTTACTCTTTTCATGGTCATAGGTTTCTTTTAAATTAAAGGAGCATCACCATGAAATTTAATAATGTTTATGAAGTTATGTAAGACCAGGTACTGTGCTGAGCTCCACTGGGCTTTGACCAGTACATTTTTCTGTTTCTAAAAATACTTGCTCTCCTAAATTGAAAGGACCAGATAGATAAATCTCATCTGGCCCCACAGGAAAGACAGTGAATGTGATTAAACTGATTGCTGCGCAAAGGAGAGGAGGGTGAACAGATGGGGAACAACTTGTACCTTTCTTCTAGTCTCTGGTCAAATTGTTCTGGATGTTGCTTAAAATCTGAGTTGTTTTTACTCCTTTCCCATCTGAACTGCCACTTCAGATGTAATGTTTCTCTTAATCTGTTTCTGCTGCATGATCTGTACAGAAGCTATCAGCAGGGCCTGTCAGCGCTGAGTTGGTGTTTAGTTCTGCTCTTCAATTTTTGCTGTATTTGGTTGAATCTTTCTTGCACAGTCCATCTGTCTGAACCTTCTAAATGTTGATTCTGTTTACTTTTACTGCTCTTTCAAATATTTCAAATTGATGAAGAAACTATTTGCTTTGCCATTTAAGCCTTAAAAATTTGACCCGGAGAAAATCTGTGTGGCTTGCTTTGTCTGCCTGATAGCTATACCTATCTGATACTGGTTGGCAAGAGCCTTGCATCCCTGCTTCTTGGTGGATTCCATTGTGAAACCTGATTTCCTTATTTCTGAGGGTGTTATTGCCCTTCTTAAATAGGGACAGATCTGTATCTTGGTTATATATTAGCATGTTGAAAAACAAGTCCTGCAAACCATCTCTGATGGTGATAGCTCTGCTCTACCTCATGCTGCAGCAAAATATAGTTGTGCTCATGCTACATTTAGCTAGTGTTTGTTCTCTTTGTGCCAGATTCTTCTTTACAATCTGGAAACAAGTCAGTGTCTGAAGAAGATGGGCAACTCACTAGGTGACTTTACCTGTGTCAACCTCCAGAACAGTCCTCCAAACATGCTTGTTACAGGCAATAAAGACAGAAGGTAGGTACTACCAAGAACTGAAACCCATCTCAAATTAGCTTACTTCCTGTCCTGCTGTCCTACATCTGGACCTGCTAGAATTTGTTTCTTCTCTAATGTTTCAAATGCAGCCTGCGTGAACTTCAGGAACAAAATATTAGGTAATAGTTGGATGTGGCTGCCAGTTTGCTTTGTTTCAGAAAGCTCCATGGGAAGACTTTCTCTTTAAGCCATTTGGTGGACACAGTTGGTGTACAGCCCAGCGAGACCACTTGGAATATCTTCCACTTCCCCACCACCACCCGCAAAATTAGTTTGGCATTTAAAAGCTCACTTTCTGATATTAAAAAAATAACCTAAGGGATGAATCATGTAGGATGAGATGGGTCCGTCTGCCAAATGATGTCAAGAGTGTATTTCGGAACACTGTGATGTCCCTCAGGTGACAAAAAAAAGAGACTTTCATATGAACAGATTCCAGCTTCTATTTAGCTGATTAGCAGCTTTCTCTTTAACTCCTTGGCTTGGGGAGTAGGATTTTCCCAGCACAATATCTGGTGCCAGGAATGGACGCGCTGGGAACAGTCAGTGCAAAAGGATTAAAGTGCTTAAAAACACCCTTTGAGTCCAATTTTTAGATTTTCTTTTTTTGGCTAGATATTTGTGGGGTCTGATCCAGTGCACCAAAGGAGATGTGGGATGGCGAGGAGCCAGTCTCTAATGGCTCCCTGTTCCTTCCCTCCTCCTTTCTGCACTGGGCATCAGGCTGCAGGTGGTGGTCTGGTGTGGTGGTGGGTATCAGATTGTAAGGCGGATACTTCCCTTTGCCAAATCCCAGACCTCTGTCCCGCCAGTGCAGCAGCTTGCAAAAATGATTATTTTGTCAAATAGCTTTTTTTTCTTCTTGGTGAATAGGCAGAGGAAGCAAACCTCACACTTTCTCAGCAAAGAGGATAAAGGAAATACCTGAAGTTTGATATGTGTAATCGAATCCTTGGGAGGTTTTTTCCTCTAAAAGCAGATAATTGATTTTCCAAAGCACCCCAGTAAAACTACCTCCAATTTTAATCTCTTGGACAGTGATGGAAGAGTAGATAAAGTTGATATCCCTTAAGTGAGATTGAAATTTACTCCTTTCATACTAGACTAAATGTCTGTGCCCTTTCCCCTCCAGAAAACTTTTCACTTTTTCAGCTCAAGCATTGACTGAGTTTAAGGGGTTGGCCATAACTAGAACAGCAAGAAGTTAGGAATCAATAGTTCAGCAAATAAGTTTGGCATCCAGGAGGCAAGATCATGTGTAGCTCAGAGGTCAGTTCCTCACATGGTGCTGCATGTGACTTGAACCTCCAGAGCCCTGTTACGGATCAAGCGTAAGGTCCCTCTTTAGGGGAGTTCATGCTGCTGATGGCCAGTGGGAAAACTTACTGCTTGAATTAAATATAGCAATTTCACAGTTTTACTAGTATGTGCTGTTCTTTCATTCAAAGCCATGATTTTGAAAAGTAACTCTTGTGAAATGTTTCTGGTAGGACCTATAAAATCTGTCTTTCCATCAAAAAATGCTCCTGAAGCATCGCTGGTTTATTTGATTACTTAGCTGTGCTTCACACTAGCAAGAGATCTGGTAACAGGGAGCATGTGGTGATGCACTGCACAGCAGCACCTTTTCCTTGGTGGAACCTAAAAGGATGAATAGCATTGGGAAAGCAAATATATGGCAAGCCCAGTGTATACTGTTGCTGAAAGGTGTGGATCAAAACATGTATTCCATGCTCTCCTAAAGGCAAGTGAGCTTACTTCTGAGATTGTTTAACATGAGAGTCAAAGCCTGGTCATGAGAACACCTTCCTTAAGACTCCCTTGGACTCAGATGAATCCAGTGTGCTCCCACTGAGCCCAGCTGCTGAGGCAGGAGATGATGGGCCATGCCAGGTCTGCATTAGAGCATCACATTAGATTTGCAAAATGCTTTTCCTTTTTTTTTTTTTTTTTTTTTTTTTTTCCTAAAGCACATCTAAACAACTCAAGTGTGCCTCCAATTCTTCCAAGGGTGTGCCAGAATGGACACCTGCCCGAAACCTGGGCCCTTGCTAATGAAATAACCAGGACACAATCAGATCTTCATTTCCAACTGTGCTTACCAAACAGAAGAAGCTTTGATTGCCGTGCAGAACACATGCAGTAAGACAGGGAGAGTGCTGGGTGCAAACACTTCCAAAATACCCCATCCTTACCTAAAGCACAGCTCTAATATGTAGCCAAAGCTTCTCTCTGCTGGAGTTGGAGAAAGCAAGAAGTCCTTTTTGCCATCAGCAACTGTTGTGGTAGGGTTTTCCTAAGGGTGACTGCAGAGCCACACAGAGTGTGCTCCTCACTCTGTTCCAGCATGTTTTTCTACATGTCAGATGGATGTTGCTCTGTTGGAGTTTTGGACTGTTCTGTTGCCTTTTATTTCAATTGCTGAAATGTGCTTTTTGTAAAATCATATGATGCAATCTCCATTTGAGAAAGGAAAAGGAAAGGCTTGCAACACCATTAGGATCGTAGCAGGGGTATGGAATAAAGTACAGTTAATGTGTTGGAACAAGTGTGTTTTGGCCTTTTCTGGAATTAATGTGTACCTGATGGTTTCATTCTTGATAGTCATCAGCCGAGAGGAACTTTCGCTGGCTTCTTTTCAAATCTGAGATCAGTATTTTCCCTTCTGGTTTCACTCGCTGCATATTTTTTTTTATTCGCTTATGTACTTTGCTTTATCTCTTAATCTTGACAGGTAAGGGTAGAAAAGCATTCTCCTTTGTGATATGTGCTAGGTTTCAAACTTAACACTATTAGCTTTAACTGGTTCCTGGGACTTGTTACAGTGGTTGAAATCCTAAGCTCTTTTTTCTGCAGTTCTGCTTCTAGCCAAGTCTTCTCTTCAAAATGCCTTGTCTAATCAATAATTTCTGGAAACCAGATGTATCTAAAAGCTGCCTGCAGTCTGTAGTTGTGTTTCTGAAATCAGAAGAGATACTGATTGCTGGGTGCTTGTGGATAGCTTTGTTTCAATATTGGTGATTAACTCGAGCGTTTAACCCGTTTAAACTGGTAACTCCCTTGATTTGTCTCTTGAATTGCCACACATTGAGTCTCTTCCTAATAGTCCTTTCCTTGATCCTCATAATAATACTGCCACTACGACCTGGGTGTGGGTTAGGTACCAAGGGGTAGGATGTGTTACAAATACGCCCCAAACATGGTATTTTACCTCGTGGTGTTGCTAACATTTTGGGAAGCACGGATAGAGGAGCTTTTTCCAAATTTCACTTGCATGTTGTTATTACCTCAGACTTGTAAAGAGACAGAGAGGTCCTGTATGGTGGGAGAAGCCTGCCTCAAAAAGTCTTTGATAATAGAAGTCAGGGTGAAAATTCAGTGTGAAAAGCGACAACTGTATTAGATCTCTGGCCCTGGGACTACTGCTGTCCTAGACATTTTCATAACCCCAAAAGTACTTGTGCTTGCAGAACCTACAGGCTGCAGATTCACAGCTGGTTTTATCTCTGTTCTTTATTTGCTTTCCTTTAGGGTCAGGGTGTTCGATCTCCGCAAAAGTGAATCTTTGTGCTCCCTCTATGCCCACCAGTTAGGAGTGTCTGCAGTCCAGATGGATGACTGGAAGATTGTCAGTGGAGGAGAAGAGGGCTTGGTCTGCGTGTGGGACCAACGGATGGGCACCAAACTCTGGGAAATGTATGCCAGGTAATTGAGTCTGCGTGGGGCCCTATTGCAAGGGTGTTTATCAGATCTGGCTGGCAGAAAGAATGTGGAATGGGATGATCCAGGACCAAAATGATAACATGCCCATGTCTGAAGCTTCTGAGAGATCTGTTTAGTTTTCATGTGATTTGGGAACAGATTGTCTCCCCACCTGGAGTCTTGTGCGTGTTTCTGTGTGTGCCCTTTAGCTGTCGTAGGCTTTTTACTCATTGGTTAAAAAGAGTGCTTCAGTCGGTGTAAGAGAGCGTAGAAATTGTTTCCTCTGGATTTTTCCATGAAGTTCAGTTAGTGTCTTCTCCCTGACCAGTATTTACTTTATTGAACCTTGCATTTCAAATGCTGGAATGCACAAGAAGTACAGCACTGAAAGTACAAGCAGAGGTCAGTATCCTGGAGTTGGCAGAAGACTGCTAGTTGCTACAGCCATGTTGTGATTTCCTGATCAAGGCACAATTCCCAGGGAGTTAGCTTTGTCTGAATGAAGACCTCAAGGCTTTAGCCCCTTGTAGGTCTGAGTGATAGCCTTAATAAAATGAACAGATAAATCCTGATCTTTTTTTCTTAATGCATCTTCCCCAAAGAGGTGCTAGATGAGGTATTTACAGTCAGAGAAGTTCAAGTGGCAGTTGTCATTGATTAATAGCAGATATCTCCTTCTCTTTTGACCCTGTGAATTATAAAGCCAGTTGTGATGTGGCTGATGCATTAGGACAATATTGCATTGATTGTCTCCTGGAGCATCACTAATGAGCATGCCAAGGAGGAGGACAGGCAGTGCAGATTTGAGCTTTGGGGGTGTGCTAAAAATGAAACCATTAGATTAAACATTTAAAATACTGGTTTTGTTATACAAATTTTGTTATATAACAAATTTTGTTATACAAATCAGAAGGGTTCACTTCAGTCAAAAAGGCCTTCGCACATAAGAAGGTGTTTGTTGCTGTCCATGTCTACAGCCCAGTGTCATGAATTAAAAGCAAGGGCAGAAACTAAGGGAAATGACACAAGACACATTACAGTTGTGGAGATGAGCCATCTTAATCCGAGAAGATAAATTACTCCTACTTGAACAGGAAATGCTGTTGCAGTGGTTTAGGGTTAGTTTATCCACCAGTGAGAGGAAAAAGAATGAAGACCAGACAGACCTCTTAGCTTGTGCCATGGAGTGCATTTCTAAATCAGCCATAGCTCAGTGCCTGGGGCTGTGGGGGTCTTGGGTGTCCCCGTATTTCCTTTTGGGAAGCATGCTGCTCTTGCCAGGAGTGTGCTGCTGCAGTCCTTGAAGCAGTAAAGCAAGCAGGCAGCCCAGATCTCTTGCAGCCTGTGTGCTGCCAAGTGTCTAAAATGTATTTTCTAGCCTCCGTGTGTGTTCTAGTGACAGTCCACTAGATGGGGATAAAAGCTGTGTTTATCTGCTCCAGACAGGGAAGAAGAGCCAAAGGTGCAGGTTCCCAGCCTCTGGCCATAGAGAGGGCGCTGATTTAAATGATTTCTTGTTTAATCCAGAGCGCTTCCTTTACTGCACTTGGATTTTAAGACTCTGATGCAGGTGGCATCTCACCCGGTGCTGCTGGTTATTTTTCAGACATCCAGTCCGCCACATATGGTTTAATTCTCACAGCCTCATCACTGCAAACATCCCTGATGAGAAGAATCCCCGGGGCTCCAGCATCGTGGCCGATGACCTAACCATGCACCGCAAGTGAGTAAGCCAGCTCTGAATGGTAGGATTTTTGGCACTGCAAGGATCTGCTTCATTATACATTTTTAAATGACATACTAAGCCCCTGAGTCATGATCCAGAGCAGTAACAGAGAAGGTATAGCATATGAAAAATAAAATTTAAAAAGTTTAAAGGTATAGTTTTTCAAAACCATTGACAAATTTGCTCTTTATTTACTACTGAGGGAAAAAAAAAAAATAACACATTTCTTTTACAGCAGGGAAATATAAAGGCCACTGAAGTCAGACAGGGAATGCAGCCTTTTCCTCGCTCTAAATATTAGTAATGATATCTCCTCCTAAAGGAAAACTACTGGTATTTAAATGCTGGGGTTTGGTATTTGCATCTCAGATGGCTGTTAGGGTGTCTAATTGAACTATCAAACTACAGTGCACTTATCTTCCCTGTTCCTAAATAGACTAGAAGTGTTTCAGCAGATGACAGTCATGTCTCTGCAGTGCTAATGTGAATGATTCACTGTTCATTTCCAGGGCTTGGTGGGGTCCCTGCAAGGAGGCAGGAGGCCGTTTTCTCTGTTAAAACTGCACAGCCTTAGTGCAGGAGGAATGGGGTTTTGTATTCAGCATTGAATCTTTATGGCAGTTTCTAACTTTGTTCGTTTCTCCTGTTGAAATATATAATTAAGGTAAAATGGTGTGTCATGGTTGTGTTTTGTCCAGGCATCGAGGAATCATTTATGCCTACGAGTTCTCAGTGGACCAGTTGGCTGTAGAAAGCATCCTTCCTATCTGCCGCTCTTCCTACGATGAAGTGACTGGTTACAACTACAACATTGGCCTTGCTGTTCCCTATGATAACATTTAGGTAACTCACTTGGCTTCTTTGGTCCAGCCCTCCGCCAAGTACATGGTCAAAGGCAACAAGGAGATCCACAGGGAAAAAACGCCAAAAAGATGGCGTTGGCTGCAGGCACAACAAATGGGCTGAGCGTTTGCTGGAAACTTGGGGATGTGAACCAGAACAGAAATGGTTGGTCTAGATGATCTTCAAGGTCCTTTCCAACCTAGATGATTCTGTGAGAAAGTATGGCTGCCCTTGAGTGTATCAGTAAAATATGTTGCTCTGCAGATGTTCAAAGGTCCGCTGTGGTGGAATGGAGAGACTGAAGAGTCAAGGGGAACAGTATACTTCAGTGTAAACAAAAATACTCCTTCCCGCTGCTTGTGGGAAAAACACTGCTGCTCTGTCTTGGCAGAGGACACGGCCGGGAAGCGAGAGCCTCGAGTGGCCAGCTGCCGCTGGTGGGGGCCTGGGAGCACACCGAGGAGCTCACGCCTATCCTGAGAGGGGGAAAAACCCACTAAGGACTTGGAAGAAGCATCTTGCTGAGCCGCATGTTTGAAATTTCTTTCCTTGTAATGAGCTGCTCATTCTCCTTTTCCTTGGAGTGCATCGGAATGTGTCTAGGAACAGCACCATGAACAAAAGGTTGTGGTGGTTGGGAGAGGGGGAGGGTGATGGACAGAGGGAGGGGAAGGTTGGCCTTGTCCAGGCTGGATGCTTGGAAACTCAGCAGGCCACATGCATCAGAATTATTTTAAAACAAATTATTTTTTTAAATCTCTAAAATTCTAGATTAAATCTTTTCTAATTGTTTATGTACATGTGTTTGTGGGTTTTCTGTTCATAAGTCTGTTAGGGTGAACTAGCCCCTGTGTGCTGGAGCAAAAGGCCGTCATGTCTCAGGTTAGTTGTCAGGTACATTCTTTGCTGGATCACACCCTTCCCCAGCACCTGGAGGTTTTTCCCAGGTGGCTGGGACTTGGGTTTCCAACACTGTCCTTGTGTCAAAGCTGGGAATTGATCGTGTTGGTGTAAAGAAAGAGAAGGGATGAACTGTCACAATCCCTCTGCATAGGCAATTAGCAGTAACACTGTGGAGAAGCATTCTAAGCTGAAGGTAAACTGTGGTACCTCGGGTGAAAACAATGAGTAAGGCTTTATCTTAAACCCAAGTTGCACAGACATAGGTAGAACCGCTTTAGTGAACAAGAGTTCCAGTCCTGCGTGGATACGTTTTACTGTTCTAAAACTATTTTATTGTTGTGATTTGCCCTGGTAAACTTCCTGGTACAAACCAAAGCCATGTAAATTAAGTTTAAATTGAGGTTAAATTTTAACTTAACACCTTTTTGCTGGCTTAATGGAATCAATTTACAAGTACAGTTCTGGGGAGGAGCACAGGAAATGTGCTGGGACCTGCAGGAGAGGGGCTGGCTGGACTATCCCTTCAGCCCTTAGCCAGTCACTAAGGCAGCCCCTGGGGAGCTTGGTGCTGCCCTCCTGCCTGGAGAGAGACATCTTTCACAGCTCTTCATTGTCTTCGGGGTGGTTTTCTGTGACCCCTAGGCCAACTTTCACGTGTGGTTTTTAACAGTTAGCTTTTTCCTTGTGATGGACTGATACAGGTTGTGCAAGGGTCATAGTCACTCAGTCTGACCAATAAATTTTATCTTTCACAAAGCTTTGGTCTTTTTTTCTTTGCCTTCTGCTGCCCTTTTGGGAAGCCAGCTCTCTTCATTCCTGGAAGAGTAAGAAATGTCACAGATACATAGTTTGGACAAGAGCTCAGCTGCAACCTGTCAAATTAATAATAGTTTCTGCAGCACAAATAATTCTGTGGGTTGCTCCAGCCCCATGTCTTCTGATGTGGCTGAACAGAGAGAGCTGCTGCTGTCATTGTTCTCTTTCCCTTGATGCTGTGACCTGCTGCCCTGTCTCGCTTAATACACCCTTGGCTTGTTCTGACTTTGCCTCTCCTTATCTTGCCTCATTATCTCGGGACAGCTTTGTTCTTTCTTCATCTCCCTGCTGCGAGTAGCAGATAAAGTTTGTCTTGTGCTAGTGTGTCGAGCCCTTTTCCTGGAGTCCACCTCTGCACTTCCCTCCTTCTTCTGTACTGCCGGCAGCGGAGCTGCCTCCTTACTGCTCCTCGGCCCTGGTAGTCACTGAGCAGCTAAAAGCTTTGCAGATGCCTGCATTCATAGGGGTGTTTACTTGCTTGTGCAGAGAAGACCTACAATCATCAGTTCACTGGGGGCCAGACATCAACCCATCCAGATAGCAGAAGACTTGCATCACCTCCAGTGGAGGGAGAAATTCTGTTCCCACAGCCGTTTCGTTGGCTCACGGCCCGGATGCAGCTCCTCGGGGTGGATTTGGAGGGTGGTCCTTCTGCTCTGTTTTTCCTGTCACTGGAATTTGTTTAGGAAGGTTGTACCACAGCAGAAGACTGTGTATGTATTTAACTAGTATTCATAATGCAAATGAGGGCACTTAGGCTGTTGGAGAGTATCCATGTTGCCAGTTCAATTTTTCTTTCTGAAAAGGGATGTTGTCCTAATTCCCTGGGTAGTCATTAATATTGTGCTGAAGTGGGTGCTGGAGTGTGGCAAATGCAATTGTGACTGTTTACATCTTTGCCAGGGTTAGGTGACACTTCAGTGGAGCCTCTTCCCTAATACCTTGAAGAGCAAGAATGAAGTCACCATCCAGTCTTTACCGGAGATAGATGCCACCTTTGGATTTCCCATTTGGGCACGTCTTAGGACTTGTTAGTGCCACCAGTTTGAGGTAGGTAGGAGCAGAGGTGGACTCTTGTCCCAGCAGACCCCTGTTGTATCCCACCATCTCCTCCGGGGTGGGTGGTGCCTGGGGCTGAGGGCAGGGTTCAGGGTGAGGAGCCCCACTCAGGCCCTGTTGGACCAGGGTTGTGGATTGAGCAGGCAGAGGTTAGACTGAAGGTGAAGGTTCGCAGGCTGTGAGAGCATGATGCAGTGTGCCAGGCTGGTGCCTGTCCCCTGGGCTGGGTCGTTGGGGACACCTGACAATCGAAGCCATCAAAGGAGGTTGTAGTTTGGAGTGAAGAGCCTCAAGAACAACTGGTTTCTGCTCTTGATGACAGTGATCCTTAGCAAAAAAGAGGTGTCTGTTGTCTTCGTGATAAGGATCCCTGCACATAAATTTCTTTCCTGCTATTCTTCAAAGAGAATATATGATCAGAGGGGGAGGCTGTCTCTATCGCAGCCTCCAGCTGCTGCCAGGCTCTGGAGCTCTGACTCCAGGGAAGAGGGAAGGATGATGCACAGCAAAACACTCTCAATGCAAAGGACGTGAGGACACACTCGGCTGTAGTGCTGTACTGGAAAAACCCCAGCTGTCCCTCCACATACTTTGGGCCCAAGCCACCAGCAAAGGCCCAAGAAGACTCTTTTTGCCTCTGTTTTGTGTCTTTGACCACCTTGGCAGTGGGGAAAGAGAGATTCCAGCGTCTTGTGGGCTGCCATCCCTCTCCTGGTGCTGAGCAGGTGAACAGCAGGTGCTCTTTGTGCAGAGGGGGACTGTGGAGGTCTCTGACTCCTCTCCCCTTCCCTGCAGCTTGGCTTTACAGAGCAGCAGCTCCCCCCAACCCCCGGGGCCTTCCCTGCTCTCAGCCTCTGTTTTCATGCCCCTGGACAGAGATGAAGGTACCTCTGTCAGTCCCCATCCGGGTCACTGTTGGAGAGGGGTGAGCATGTGGTGCAATGAGCCATGGTGGTGCAAAAAATACTTCCTTATGCCCTCTGTCCCCTCCTTTATTTCAGTGACATTTGGCCACTCATTTTCCACTTCTGGGTATAGTCCTAAAACCTTCGCATACATTTTGGCTGGTGCTGGTGTCCCAGCCCCTACCAGTCACTCTCACCTCTGAGGTGGGTCCCCGTGGCTGCAGGGGGAGGTGGGGCAGCAGTGGTTGGAGACCCCGTAGGCAGATGATGTACCCATGGATTAAGCAGTAGAAACTAGGGGAGGAAGTGCCTGTTCCAGATCAGGATTTGTGCCATTGACAAATTTCTGGCCAGAAACATGGACCTGCAGCCTCTGGGCCAAATGCATCTTCATGGAAGGCAGCTGCTGGCTTTGTTGGTGTGGGAGTGACTGTGTCACCTCTGCATCAGAAGGTGCCACTCGAAGGAAGGACGAGCTCCTCAAAATGTACCCTACAACTCTGGGCTGCAGGTGGCTGCCCTGGCTCCCTCGCTGCATGCTCCTGTGCTGCCCTACTGCTCTCCTGTGCCTCCTTGCCCTTCCCAGGCAGGTATCCCCTCTGTTTCAGTCTCTCCTGCTTGTCCCAAACTCCAGGGGCTGAGAGATGGGTGGGGATGGTGAGATAGGTCAAGATATCTGTTCCCCCTGTGCCAAAAATCACTGTGCCTGGGGTGCCTGCCCTGCAGTCATGTGGGTTGCTCAGTCCTGCTCCTCCAGAACCACAAGTCCATCCCTGCTCTCTGTGATACACTGCTCAGCCTTTATCAGCCTTCCCTGAGCTTTCTGACGCAGCAAAGTGGCTTCAATTTTCCAATTACCCTCTGCTGACACCATTGGGGTCTGCAGTGGAGCTTTGTGCCACATCACAGGTCTCAGCATCTTGGCAGCTCTTGCTGTGCCCCGTAACAGAACTATTATCCTTTATTGAATGCTCTGGGCTTTGCCGGATTTTGCTGTGGTCTGCAACAGAAACATTACCCTTGCCAGATTTCCCAGTGTCCTGACAGTTTTTCCTGTGCTTTATAGAATTACTATCCTCCATCTCACTGGGTTTTGCTGTGTGTAACGTCCACATCACATTGCACTGCCCTGGCTTTCTGCTGGCGGTAGGAGCAAGCCTCTGCCCACCTGGAGGAACCGTTACTACAGGCAGGGCTGTACGCAGCCTTGGGGCTCTGGCCTTTATCATCAGCCCTTTGCTGGGGTGAAGATTGGGCTTATCTCCCCCCAGGCCCCTCCCATTCCGCTCACCCTTTCATCTGCTCCGTGCTGCCCTCCCTCCTGCGCTCATTCCTGCAGAGAAGACAAACACAAGCAAAGGCAAAATATTGTGTATCCAGTTTGCTTTGGGCCCTACCTCTGCTTCGCCGCAGCCCCTGCTCCCACACTTTCTTAGTCACCTATTTATCTGAGGAACAGTTAATTAGCTCAAGGGATAATTGCCCAGAGAAGCTGTGGCTGCCCCCTCCCTGGCAGGGTTCAAGGCCAGGTTGGACAGGGCTTTGGGCAACCTGGGCTAGTGGAAGGTGTCCCTGCCCATGGCAGGGGGGGTGGAACTGGATGATCTGTAAAGTCCCTCCCAACCCAAACCATTCTTTGGTTCTATGATAATAATCACCCTCTTCAGTCCTCTTGCCCTCTATTTCCCTGCATTGCACGGTGTACCCAGCCCTTGCTGGCTGCAAGAAGCACTGGTGTCTCCTCCAAGAAAACCACAGTGTGGAGGGGGAGTGTGACCACGACCTTCTGTCAGCCCCTGCAGCAGCAGCAAGGGCTTTGCGCAGGAGGGGCAGCCCTGCGGGGTGAGTCAGGGGTGGAAAAGGGCTGTTCAGATACACACAGGTGCTGTGGGAGCAGGGTGAGGCCAGCAGCACGGCGCCTGCCACGGCCTGGGGAGCAGGATGGGTCTGCAGCATCCCTAGATAGAGTTAGACTGGACATTAGGAAAAAAAATTTCGAAGAGTGGTCAGAGAGTGGAACAGGCTGCCCAGGGAGGGGGGGAGTCCCCATCCCTGGGGGTGTTTAAGGGCCGTTTGGATGAGCTGTTGGGGGATGTGGTGCAGGGGAGAGCTTTGTAGAGTCGGGCTGAGGGTTGGACTTGATCCCGAGGGTCTTTTGCAACCTGAATGATTCTGTGATTCTGTGGTAATTCCTGTGAGAAGATGGAGGAAGGAGCCTGGGTCTGCTCCTGGAACTTGGGGGGGATCTGGGAGAAGCTGGATGTCGTGTGTGGGGAGGGAAGGGAGCACTGAGGGCCTGGCATGGGGAGGAGGAGGACGAGGAAATTCAGGAGGAGGATGAGGAAGTTCAGGAGGAGGTTCGGCCTCAGCTGGGAGGTCAGACCCTGAGCCTCTGCTCTGGATGGTGCCAATGCAGCCAGGGATGAGCTGAGATGATGGAGGTGTCGGGAGGAGCAAGAGGAGAACAAGACTAAAGAGTCCCAGAGCCCTGCACATGCAGACATGGCTGCAGCTGCCATCGGGCAGCACTGGGAGACCCTCAGGCTGAAGGGCTGCACTGGGATCGCTGGGAGCTCCATCACTGTTCCCTCCCCAGCCCCAGTGCTCAGCCCTGCCCCCAGCACCAACCCTGGCTCTCCCCACCAGCCCAGGCCGAGCACCGTGTGCCAGCACCACAACGGCCCAACCAGCACCGGGGGTGGTGACAACCCCCACGCGTGGAGCTGCGAGTTGGGATCAGCTCCATCCCTGTGGCTCCCTCCGAAGCCAGGTCAGCCCCAGCCTGTCTCAGTGCTGCCGAGCAGCACGCGTCTCCCCAGGACAGGACTGCATTGCAGGGGAGGACTGTCCTTCCCCAGGTTAGTGCAGCTGCCCGGGCTGCTGGCTCTGAGCAACAAGGCTGGTGCCGGGGCTGTGGTCCAGCAGCTGTGAATGCAGACTGGGGTGTTTTTCAGAGGGACAAAGCTACAAAAGTCTGTGAGGGTGAGTCCTTATCTGTGAGGATGTCTGGCAGCGCAAAACCCCCCACCAATGTGGAGCAGAAGGAGAAATTGTTGGTGCCCACGGGGGACGGAGGGGCTGGTGCCGGGGCTGCGCGTGGCTGCGCATCCATCGCTCCCTCCAGCCTTCACTCACGCGCTGCCGGCTGCTTGCTGTGGCGGGGGCTTTTTTTCCATCAAGTGTACATGTCACCAGGGGAAGCTATTTTTGATAAAACAAACAAATCTTTCCAGCTTTTCTAAAAATAGCCATTGCCCTTTTTTCTCCCCCTCCTTTCCTAGCTCAGGCTGCCGTAGAGACAGAAATCCGCCTCGAGCCATCCAGTTACTAATACCAGTAAACAAACCCTTATCTCCGGTGCCTTGTTCTAGCAGGAACATGTGGGGGTGGGAGCCAGCCGGCTGCCAGAAGCCCACGTCCCCATGTTCCCTCATCCCTGCTGCCTGCGCCCCAGCCCCGGTGGGGGGGCACCGGTAGCAAATTCCGGGCCCTTGCGTGGTCCCACGCAGCTCCTCCTGCCTGGCTCTGGCGGCAGATGCAGCCAAGGTGACTGGTTTTGGTTTAAATTGGGGTTATTACTTGTGCTCCTGCCACCTTCATGGCTTGAATATCTCATGGGATGCAGAGGGAGATGTAATTGCCTTTCCAGGTGGTGAGGATGCTGCCTTCACCTCCTGCCCCTCAGCATCCCCATCCCTGCCGGCACTCACTCCCCAGGCCGTGGGGCTCCGGGGGTTCACAGCACAAGTTGGGCAGCTCCTTCTCCAGAGCAGCAGATGGCAGAGGCTAAAAATTCAGATTTACGGGGACACAAGGATTTGTGAAGGCTTTCTGCACAGGGAGATACCCCGCCAGACACTGGGCAACGGATGGACGGAGCGTTTCTCAGCAAGGAGTAAAAAGAGAAATACCTTTTATTACAGATAAAAGCCTCTTACGTTTCTAGAGAGCAGAAGGCAGCCCCACAACGGGACAGGCACGCGGGCGGGTACAAAGCGCTTGGTGCCAGGAACATGGAGCTGCTGCAGAGTGCTCGTCTTCCTCCTCCTCCTCCTCCTCCTCCTCCTCTTCCTCTGGCTCCCAGGAGAGAGCCAGAGGTCAGTAGCAGTGCGCAATGGTGTCCATGTTGAGGAAGCGGACGTGCATCTTGGTTTCAATGTCTATCCCCTGCCACATCTGCAAGGGGAAGGGGGTGAGCGGGGCCGGGGGCCAAGCGCCCAGGTCCCTGCAGCCACCCGGCCCCCTCCTCCTGGCGAAGATGAGCAGAGATGGCACCAACCTTGAGGAAGTCTTCAAAGGTGATGCCTTCATACACCTGGTCCGGCCCCTGTGCACAGCAAGAGGGGTAACATTAGAGCTGTCCTACGCCAGTGGGGCAGAGCCCTCATGGCACTGGGTGATGGGGGGTGGTTCCCTCGGGGCTGTGGGACATGTCTCCCATGGGTGCACAGTGCTGACCCTGCACCGTGCCCCATGGCCAGCCCAACAGCAGTTCCCAGAACCACCATGGCTGCAAGGAGCTGCCTTTTTTAGACGCACTAAAGCCCCAAGCACCAAGGATGGTGCTTTATGGGGTGCTCCTTGTTTATCCCCCTTGGGCTTTTACAGTGTTAAAAAAGCCTCAAAACCCCGAAAGCTGCTGCCTGAAAAAAATCTTCTCCAGCCAAAGCAGCCTGGGACAGGGCAGATGCCCCGGGCAGGACAGACACCTTCCAGCCCCATTTTTGATACCATCTGCGTATCTCTGTGCCAGGGTAGAGCAAGAAACCAGCTCCCACCATTTGTCCCACACAGATGCTGGCTGCCTCCATCATGGCCCCATCGGCGATGGACCGTGCCGACTCCTTCTCCAGGTGGGGGTTCCCCGACAGCAGCTCCTCCACCACCTACGAGGCAGCAGGTCAAAGACGGGGCCGGGAATTTGGTGGTGATGGGGCAGTAGGGACCATACGTTACATTTCTGTACTCCTGCAGCGTGATCTTCCCATCGTGGTCTGAGTCGTACATATGGAAGAGGACTGGGAGGGACGAGAGGAGCGCGGCAGGGTCAGGGGAGCCCCTTCCCACCATCTCCCCCAGCCCTGGGCTTTGGGCAAGCCTCACATTTGAGTTTCTCTTTCCGGAAGCGATCGAGCTGCTCCTCATCCATGTTCATCTCGATGGGTCTGAAGTAGGACATGATGGTCAGGAAGTCCTCAAAGTTTATCTCGTCTGCCAGCCCATCCGACTCCTGACGCAGGTTCCTGACAAGGGCAGAACCACCAGTAATGGGCAGCTGGGGCCCCCCCGGCCACCCGCTCCAGCCCACCACAGAGCCTGGTGCATCCCTCAGCAAAGCTTTAGGACTGTTTTTTCCCTAAAACTTAGCTTAAATGTCTGCAATTTTCACCCTTGCTCCCTCCCAGCCTTTAGGAAGAAGATCTTTCCCCAGCCACGTCCCACTTTCAGAGGATAAACCAACTGCACTGACTTTCCCCGCCATGCTGGGGACATTCTTACCGCTTGTCGAAAAAAGCATGGACTATTTTCCCCCTAATCGGGTTGAACTCCAGGTCTGGGATGCTGTCGAAATTCTCCTTGCTACAAAGGAAACAGAGACAGCCTAAAATGTGAGAGGGAAATGATGTGATGGTTACCAAAGGGCTGGGTCAGAAGCCCCAACCCCATTGTTTCAACACAATTATGGGGAAAAAAAAAAAGTTTTTGCATGAAAACCCCTATTTGCCTCAATTGAGACTGAAAGCAAGTCATGCTGCTGCATCAGTCTGTGCTTGCTGCAGCTACCGGGGATTTTTTTTTTGCCCCCAATAAAATGGGTGCTTGGGAAGCTCTGGGACATAGTGGCTTAGGGCCAATGTGGGGGCCCTTTGCACAGCTCGACCTGCAAGTGGCTGCACGGTTTTCAGAGGGTTTTCTCAGGAATAAGGTTCCTAAAGGGGCTCAACAAGGTGAGGGAAGGAGCTTTTGCCACCCACTCTCCCCTTGGCTTTCTCTGCCCTTGCCAGTGCGGCTGCATCTCGCTGCTTCCCCATGCTGTGCTGCAGACACCAGGTTGAGCTGGTCATTTCCTATCAGCTTTTTTATAAAACAAATGAGCCAAGGAATAATCTCCAGGGAGGGGAAGCAGAGGGTAGCTGGGCTCCCTGGCCTGTGCTGGCTCCTTGTGTGGCTGGTGAAGCTGGCTGGCCACGCCAGAGCTTTCCCCAGGAAGCAGAGTCGTGCCTTTGGTGCCCCATTGCCTGCACAGACACCGAGGAGGGGGGAAAGGGCAACTGCAAATCCCACCGTAGCTGCTGCGTGGGGACTTCTCACTTCTTTCCCCAAACCTGATTTTAAAGCTGGGGAAAAAAATGATGCTTGGCAGGAGTGACCCTGCTCTCCAGCCTCTGCTTCACCCCTCATGTTTCCTCATATTCTTTGCAGTGCCACACTGCAGAGACCCAGCCCAGGACCGCCATGGGATGGCCGGGAAAGCCACACTCCTCCTTGGCCAGCTGGGGAAGGAAGGAGCCACGGGCGATGCTCTGGCCAGCCCTGGCGTGGCAGGAATCCCCTGGCAGTGAAAATGGAAGCGCCAGGAGTGGAAATGGCAGCGCCATACCGGATCGTCAGCTGGTCCCGGCTCAGCTGCTTGAATCGCCGGTGCAGATGCTCGATCTGTTCAGAGGTGACTGTTGGGGGAAAAGAGAGAGGTGACGGCAGGGTGAGCTCCCTGGGCACAGGGCAGCCCCCGGGACACCCATCTGCAGAGCTCATGTCCTGCCCAGGAACTCGAGGAGCCTGGTGGGCACCAAAACCTGCCGCAAAGCTTGTTCGCTGGGGACACCACCAAAGCCCACCCCATCCAGCAATGACAAACGGCTGCCTGCTGCTGCACCCCCCGGCAGCAGGGCAGGGCCCTGGGCACTGCTTGGCACAGTTGTCCCCATCCCTGTTTCCCTTTGGTGGCTTCATGCAGCCCCGCAATGTCCATCTCGCTGCGTGCTCTGTCCCTTGCTTGCTGCAGAGAGGACACAGGGTGATGCCAAGGGCTGGTTTATCACCAGTCCTGGTCTGCAGAAGCTCCCATCCCACACTGCACGACATGGCACAGCACAACATGGCAGGGCAGGATACCCCCCCCC